AGCCCTGGCACCCGTGGGGTGGCCCCGGTGGGGTTTGGGATCATCCACCAGGGATCGCGGCTGTGATGTGCTCCTGCGGTGGGTTCAGAAGGGACGGTGACCCCCCACAGCTGCCTCCTGTCCCTGCACACAGCCGGAGGACACTGGTGGCAGCTTCCTTACTCAAACACTTTGCCCTTCGCTGGTGGCATTTGGGGGTCCCCCTGCCATGAACCCCCCCAAGGCACAGATCCCCCCCGCAGCCCCTGTGCTGACCATGGCCTGGACAGTAACTGCAGGTTCCTGATCCAGGAGCGCAGGCAGCTGCCCGTGTCTGGGCGCGATGGGTGCTGCCTGCACGGGCTGGTGGCAGCCCCTGGCACGGGGCCCTGTGCTGCGGGCGGGTGACAGCAGCCAGCAGCAGGTAACGCTGCCCACGTCCTGCCTGCACCCCCTGCCTGGCCCACTGCCTGCACCCATTGCCTGCCACCTGCCTGCACCACCTGTCTGCACCCTCTGCCTGCACCACCTGTCTGCACCCTCTGCCTGCACCCATTGCCTGCACCCCCTGCTTGCACTCATTGCCTGCACCCCCTGCTTGCACTCATTGCCTGCACCCCCTGCTTGCACTCATTGCCTGCACCCCCTGCCTGCACTCATTGCCTGAACTGCCTGCTTGCACCCATTGACTGCCCCACTGCTTGCACCCCCTGCTTGCACCATGATGCCCCCGGTGGCTGTCCCCACACTCCTGCCCTCATGATGCTGCCCGCTCCGGTTCCGTGCCAGCTCTGCTCGGTGGGGTGTTCCCGGCGGGGTGTCCCGTGCGGGATAGGGAGAAACGGCTCCCGGTCCCGCACGGCTCCTCCAGGAGCCCGGTGTCGAGCAGTCCCCGGGACCCCCAGGATGGGTGCGCCTCCCCTCCCGGCTCTCCCCGCTGCCTCCGAGGGGCAGGTCCGCACGGCGAACACGGTCCGGTCCCTTCCACCCTCTCCAGTGGCAGCGGGGCTCGCCGGGACTCGTCTGTCTTTTGGACAGACAAGACCCGAGTCCCCCGGTGCCACCGGGACGCCCGACACCATACAATGCACTTTGCAGAACGCCCACAGCCCTGAGCCTCCTGTGCCACCGGGACTCGCGACGCGGCTCCCACCGGTACCACTGGAGCGCCCGACCCGGTTTCCCCCGGTACTACTGGAACGCCCAACCCGGTTTCCCCAGGTGACACCGACACCCCCGATACGGCTCCCATTGGTGTCACCGGGACTCCCGACCCATGCCCTCTGCAGAACTCCCACCGCCCTGAGCCTCCGGTGCCACCGGGACTCCCGACCCGGCTCTCTCCGGTGTCACCGGCATTCCCGACCCGGTTTCCCCTGGTGCCACCGGGATTCCCGACCCCGCTCCCCCCGGTGCCACCGTCACTCCCGACCAGCTTTCCCCCGGTGCCGCCGGGACTCCCGACCAGCTTTCCCCCGGTGCCACCGGGATTCCCGATCCATGCCCTTTGCAGAACTCCCCCCACCCTGAGCCTCCGGTGCCACCGGGACTCCCGACCCCTTTTCCCTCCCGTTTCCCCCGCTCGGTGCCGCCCGTACCGGGGTGCCGGCGCCCCGCTCCCGGTCCCGCTCCGCTCCCGCTCCGCTCCCGCTCCTCCTCCGCGGGCTCCGCCGGGCTCCGGCCCCGCCACTACTTTCTCTTAAGCGCTCGGTGACGCGCGGGGCGGCGCGCGGGCCCGTGACGCACGGCGGCGAGGGGGGGGGGGCGGTTCCGGCGGGGGCGCGGCCGTGACGCACGCGGGGTTCCATTGACGCAACCGCGGCGCTCGCGCTAAAAATACCCGCGCGGACCCGGCTAAAAATAGCGCGGGAGCCCCCCGCATCCCCCCCTCCCCCCCCCCCACCTCGGGGCTCCCGGAGCGGGACGGGGAGGGGACACTGGGGGGGGGAGGCCCCGATGTCGGCACCGGGATGGGCAGGGCGGGGGAGGGTATCCCCGGTGTTCCCTCGCTGCTGGTACCCCGCTGCTGGCATCTCCCGGTGCCGTTATCCCCGCTGGTTCCTCGGTGCCGCTATGCCCGGTGCCCCCTTGGTGCAGGTATCTGCGGTGCTGTTATCCGCTGTGTTCCCATCCTCGGTACCCCGTCGATGCCCCCATCTCTGGTACCCCCTCGCTGCCGCTATCCTCGGTACTCCCATCCCCGGGGCTCTCAAGGTGCCGGTATCCCCGGCACCCCCATCCCTGCCGCTATCCCTGGTGCCGGTATCCCCAGTGCTCTCCTGTATCGCCGGTACCACTGTGCCCACTGCCCATTGCCCCGTTACTTTTGGTGCCGGTACCCCCGGTCTCCTCCCGCTCGATGGCCGGGTACCGGAGCGGGGGTTGCAGGGGACGCGGGGTCCCGCCTCACACCCGGTCCCCGTGGGGAGACCCTTGGCCGGGCCGATGGAAAGAGCGGCGGCTGCTGGCGGGCGCCCAGCGCCGGGAACACCGCCCGCGGGCTGGAAAGATGAGCTCAGCCCGTGCGGGGCCGGGCCGGGCCGGGCCGAAGGGAGGGCGAGGGGCGGGCGGAGGGGGTCTCGGTGCCCCCGCCGTTGCCGCCCTGGTAACCCCCTGTGCCCACCGGTATTACCTCGGTACCCAAGGATACCCGGCTTCGGGGGCAAACCGAGGGTTTTGGGGGACCCCGGCCCCCCGTTCTCTTTCGTTCCCCCCGGGTTGTCAGTCTCGTTAATGCCACCCCCCTTACTGCCACCTCCGCAGAGCCCCCCAGCAGCGGCAGAGCCCGACCGGGGGAGCGGAGAGACCTTGGGGACGGTGTCGCCGTGTCCTCGGTAATCGGAGTCCGCGCCGTGGGGGTGCTTTTCAGGCACCCGCCCATCCCCAGGGCGTCGGGGCTGCAGTGGGGGGGAGTGGGGCCCAAGGAGGAGATGCCGGGACCCCGGTGCCAGGACCCTGACCGGATTCACGGGAGCCGGCCCCGCCATGGGGAAGCCCGCACCGGAGGGGTCCCGGGGCTGCCGAGGGTACCGGGGATACCGGTGCCTTCTCCCGCCTCCCGTTCCCGGCTCCCTCGCGCTGCCCGCCCCAGGCGAGACGGCCCCGTGACGTCACACCTGGCCGATGACGTCCCCGGGATCCCGCGGTATCACCGGAGCTGCCCCCGCGGGGAACCCAGGGCTCCACCGGGACCTACCGGGGATCCCCGCGCCCCGGGACCGGTGCCAGCGCGGGGGTACGGGCAGGAGCCCCTGGGACAGGGTCAGGCCGAGGGTCCCGGAGCCAGTGGCAGTCCCAGAGCCATCGGGGTGGCAGCGCCGGGCCGGGAGCAGAGCTGGAGGGAGGCGGGTGACACCGGCAGCCCCCGCACACGGGATTAGCTGTACCCCGGGGGCGGAGAGAAACCGGAGCCCGGTCACCCCGGCAAGGCCATGAGGGGGTGCGCAGGGGGAGCCCCGGCTCACACCGGCCTCTGGGTTGCTCATGTCTGGGTGCTGGGTGCAGGATGCCCATGGCCGGCCCTGGCTCGCAGCCCTCAGTCCATATTGGTCGGCAGTGACCGGCTGCTCCGGGCATTCCCAACCCATATCCCGCATCCTCAGCCCCCAGCACTGCCCGGCTCCGCTGCAGCCACGCGTGACCGCGGTGTCCCGCCAGCGCCCGGCACACGCCGGGCTAAAAACAGCCCCGTGTGGGGCAGCAGCTGACGGGGGGGGGGGTGTCCCGTGATGGCCGTGACGGGGACGGGGTGCCCCGACCCTGGCAGCGGCTGAGCGCGGCCCCGGGAGCCGGACCATAAATGTCCAAGCACGGAGCGGTGCTGGAACGGGGACAAGGCAGGAGAGCGGTGGGGGCCCTGCCCGGCCCCATGCACACGGCACAGGCAGGGGCACAAGCAGCCCCGCAGCACACACATGCAGCACACATGTAGCACACATATGTAACACACATGTAGTACACAGCCCCTGGGTTCTGATCCTCAAATCCTCCTGCAAACCCCCCCTGGGGCTGTGGGGGGCTGAGCCATGGCCGGACCCCCTGGGCGCAGTTGTGGGGTGCAGGAGCTCAGAGCTGGGGGCTCCTCAAACCCACAATGTCCCAGCTAGGAATGGGCACAATGCAGAGGGGAAACTGAGGCACGGAGCCTGGAGCAGAGCGCTGGGGGCTCCTATGGAGCCCTTGTGCAAGGAAAATCCATTGCACCCATGGCTGCTCGCTGCAGAAGCCGGGGGGGGGGGGTGTCTGTGGACCCCGGGGCGGGGTGAGCGGGGACCCCCGTGCCCGTCCCGGGCGGAAGGGCTCGGCTGGGACCAGCTTCCCTCCGGCTGCCGGAGGAAGCAGGAGCAGGAAGGGCCTGGCCAGGGCCCCGCAGCGCCGGGACGGGGCCGAGGGCACGGGGCGGGGGAACACGGAGGGGTCCTCGGTGACACCGCTCACACCGGCAAAGGGGCAACGACTGTGTCCCCCCCCCAGTCACAGCCACACAGCACTGCAAAACGTCTCTGTATTGGTACAAAAGCCGCTGGGGTAGGACTCCCGTGAGCCCCGAGCCGGGGGGGGAACACGCAGGGTCCCCCCGTGTCCCCCAGTGAGGATGGCACTGGCTCCTGAGGCGAGCGGTGGCTTCGTGCGCCGGGCCGGGGGGGGGTCCATGTCTGTCCCGTGGTGCTGGGGCCCACTATGGCTTGAGGGGGGCAAGCCAGGACCCCTGGGGGTGACCCCAAGCTTCTCCAGTGGCCCCCGGAGGGGGCTCGTAGTCCCTTACAATAAATAAATAAATAGGCCGAGGAGGGGGTGTCCTGGTACCCCAGTTAGAGGTGACTCCTCCTGGTACTCCTTTAGAGGTGATGCTTCTCTTGGTACCCCCGTTAGAGGTCATTCCTCCTGGTACCCTTTTAGAGGTGATGCTCCTCTCGTTAACCCCCATAAGAGGTGACTCCTCCCTGTACCCCCGTTAGAGGTGATGCTCCTCCCGGTACCCCGTTAGAGGTGACCCCTCTGTAGCCCCCATTAGAGGTGACTCCTCCCTGTACCCCCGTTAGAGGCGATGCTCCTCCCGGTACCCCGTTAGAGGTGACCCCTCTGTAGCCCCCATTAGAGGTGACTTTCCTCCTCCTCCAGCGCCCGGTTCAGCCCCGGGATGAACTTGAGCAGCCGCTGGCGGAAGCTGCTGTGCCGGCCCTTACGGGGGGCAGCGACCGCCCCCTCCCCGGGGTCCCCGGCCCTGCCCCACAACCGCACCCCCGGGCCTGCCCCACACTTGAGGCTGGCGCTGCGGGCCAGAGCTGGCCGGGGGCGCGGTGGGGGGGGCGCGGGCCCCGAGGTGCCCCTGTCCTTGTCCCCATCCTTGTCCCCGTCCTTGTCCCGGTCCAGGGAATCGGCGGAGGCGAAGAGGCAGGTCTGGTACAAGGAATCATCGCTGCCGCTGGCGCGGGGGGAGCCGCCGGGGAGCCCCCCCTCGCCCTGCAGGCACCAGCGGATCGACTCCAGCGTGTCGTAGATGCTGGGGTCCTTGGCCACCACGCCTGATGTGGAAACACGGGGGTTAAAGGGGCCGGGGGTGCCCCACAGCCTCCCCAAGCCCTCACCGGCCCCCACTCACCCCGCACCAGCCGCTGCTCCTGCACCATCAGCGAGCGGTACTCGCCCCACTTCTCATAGAGCGTTTGCTGCAGGGGATGACGTGGGGGGTTGAGAACCCCTTGGGGGGGGGGGGTCCCCAGCCCCTCTCGAGCCCCCTCCTGCGCCCCTTCCTCACCTTCAGGTACTGCAGCCGGGCCTCCAGCTCAGCCCTCCGGATGGACGTCCCATAGAGCGTGTCGAGCCTATGGGACACCCGCCGTCAGCACCGGGCACGCTGCGCCCCCCGGGCCCCCCCGCACCCCCCAGCTCACCGGAGCACATTGCCCGAGCTCTTGATGATCTCCACGATGTCCCGGTGCCGGACGCCCTCCACATTGAGCCCATTCACCCCCGTGATTGTGTCCCCTAGCGCCACATTGGGGGACACAGAGAGGCTCAGGGATGCTGGTCCCCCCCCCGGCCCCTCCTGACCCCCCCAGGGATGCGCTCACCAGCCTTGAGCCCCGCAGCCTCAGCCGGGCTCCCACCGTGCACCCGGCACACGAAGGTGAACATCTCCACACTGTTCCTGTCCTGGTGGTGCAGCCCATAGGTCTGAAATGGGGGCATTGGGGGGGGGGTGCTGGTGAGAGGCGCAGGAACCCCCCCAAAGCCCAATCCCCTCCCCGTGGCAATAAGGGAGCAACTGCAGTGTGTAATAGTGATAGCGGTGATGTGGTGGGGGGGTTTCTCGCCCCATATGGTGCCCCCCCGGCTGCCCTCTGTCAGCACGGCCGGGGGAGGCTTCGGCATCGAGGCAGCTCCGTCAGCGCTGAAAATAGACCCTGGCTCAGAGACAGGGTAAAAATACCCTCGATGCAAAGCAAGGTGCAGGCTGGAAGGGTGGGGAGCACGGCCTGGGGTGGCACAGCATGGTACAGCATGGCATGGCACACCATGGCACAGCAAGGCATGGCACGGCACAGCATGGCACAGTATGGCATGGCACAGCATGGTACAGCACAGCATGGCCATGTGGCCCACCTGGATCTCGAAGCCGAAGGTCTCTTCTGCCTTCTTCTCCAGTGTCACCACCCTCCTGGGGGACACAGGGATCAAGGCCATGGCAGAGCCCCCGGCACCCCCCAGCCCCGATGCTCCTGCTCACACCTTGGGATGCTTTGGGGTTTGGGTGTTCCCTGTGCTGGAGGGGACCCCCCTTCCCCAGGATGGGAACTCCGTGGCCTGAGCCCTGCAGCTTGTTCCGAGGGTGCTGGGCCCCAAAGGGAGCTGTGACCCCCGCAAATCACCCCCATTTCCAGCCCTCCAGAGTGGGCTCACACCACAGGACCAACCCCCCCCTCCTACCTGTGCTCCTCTGGAGACTGGCTCGGGGACCCCCACTTGAACCCCGCACCCTGCAACAGAGGGACAGCGTCAGTGGGGGGGACACGTTCCCCTGCCACCCCCTCTAGGGACAGCCCAAACCGGGTGTCCCATTGGACACCACTGAACCCCCGGGCAGCACCGTGCCAACCCGGCACCGAACCAGCACCCGGCTGCACCCATCACCCCCCCCCGCGGTGCCGCCGGGCATAACGGGGCTTTTATGGGTGCTCAAAGCCACCCTCACATCACCGCACCCCACGCCACGCTCCGGGGGGGCCGCGGGCACAGAGGGGCCCTGTTGTGGTCACAAAGTCGGGTGTTCTCATGTAAAATGTCGTGGGCCCCCCCCCGCCCCGGCCCGGGACAAAGTCTCCGTTGTGGAGGGCGCGGAGGCGGAGGGACCCTCGCCGCGGGGCAGGAGGTGACAGCGCTGTCCCCAAATGCCCCTCCGCGGCCGCCCACTGCACGCAGCAGCCCCGTTATAACCGGTGTCCCCGGGAGCGGGGCCGTCGGCTCCCTCCGCTCAGTGCCACCGGCCCCGTGCTGCCCCATCCATCCCATCAGCGCCGGGTGCGTTCAGCGGGGCCCGCGGCAGCCGCTCAGCGACGGGGAGGGGACGCGGGGCGCCCAGGGCCCCCTCGGGGCCGGCGCCTTGGCCGGTGAGCGGGGGCCGGGCCGGTGCCAGCAGGGCCGCGGGAGCCGCTTCTGCTCCGGATGTCGGCTCCGCTCCCGCTTCCCCCCGACGCTCAGGAAGCGCCGCGGGGCCGGGGGGGAGCGTCAGGGCGGTGACAGCCCCGACGCCGCTGGAAAGGGGCTTTCCCAGGGGCGCGTGTCCCGCTAGGGCCGAGCCCAGACCCCAACAAGCCCCGTGTGCCCCCTTCCATGGGGCAGAGCCCTAAGGGACCGCAGGGACACGTCTGTGACACGGCCACGTCCACCGGGGTGCGGGCCTGCCCCTGCGCCCCCAAAGCCACAGAGCGGGACGTGAGGAGGAACTAAGGCAGGACGTGACGCTTGGGGGGCACAACACGGGAGCAGGATGGGGACACCGGGAAGATGCTGCGGGAGAACGGGGGGATGCTGGGGGGAGGGGGCACCGGGGCAGGACTGGGACACGGGGAAGGGGTCAGCGGCCATCGGGGCAGGACAGGAGCCCAGGGGACGCCGCCGGGGCAGCCCCGCAGGGTGCAGGCAGCAGCGACCCCACATCCCCGCTCCCGCTCACACCCCCTGAGCCCCCGTTACCGGTATCAGTGCTGCACTCCCCACCGGGAGCAGGCTGGGGGCACCGGGGAGGCGCCACCACCCCGGCCTTAGCCCTACCTTGCGCACCCGGGGCAGGGTGCCCCCGGCGGCCGCCAGCGCTCGGTAAACGGCGGCGGGGCCGGGGCGCTCCGGGGCCGCCACCGCCACCACCGCATCCTCCTTCGGCCGAAGCCGCCGCCGCCGCCGCAGGGTCATGGCCGGGACGCGGCGCCGAGCGCGCCGCTTTATCGGCCCCGGAGGGGCGGGGCCAGCGGAAACCACGCCCGTTTCTGTGTCAAACCACGCCCCTCCAGTTGCTCTCAGCCCCGCCCCTTCCATCGGGAACCGCGTCCTGACCATCGGGGGGACCCTGGGGAGGGGGGCACAGAGATGATGCTGTGAGGAGGGGGGGTCCCGTGGTGGGACAGTGCAGGGGACATCGCGGGTGGCACCGTTGGGTACCATCACCTTGGGGGTGAAGCGATGCTGCTCCCCAGGGCCTGAGCCCATCCCCCAGGACAAGAATCCCCCCATGTTGAGGACTGATTCCCGGGCAGAAGCAGGAGCAGCCGGAATGGATTCAAATCGTCCCTAGGAGAGCTTAGTGCCCAGGCTTAGGATGCTTACTGGGAACATAGATCTGTAAGACACAAAGACAACGATTCACTGAATCCAAACCATCACGTTCAAGCAGGCATCGGGTGCTTGTTTCCCAAGAGAATAAACGGTGCAGGATTCCTAAGCTGACTTTGGATTTGTTTTTTAAGCCTCAAGCAGCAGTGTGGAGGGCTGAGCAGTGTAAACCAGCAGCGACGCATTGCGTAGCATGGGATCACTCTGATAAGGTGAGTGTCGAGGTGCACAGCACACACACAGCCCAGTCTAGTCCATTTCAGTCATGGAAAGACTAGAAGCTTGGACCTTTCTGTCCATCTTCAGCATGGGGAAGGGGCAAGTCAAAAGAAAGTAGCACTTAACCATTCCTAGTACAAAGCTATTCTTAGTTATCCAAAGGTCCAAATGAAGTCTAGGCGCTTCAGCACTGGAAACACAGGAGGATGAAGCCCATCATTTCACATCCTGAGATGCTGCGGGAGTTATTGAAGGAATTTGCAAGGTGATTCCTCAGTGAACACCGCCTCTCGCCTCCCCCGTGCCTGCAGTACCGAGCCTTGTCCACAGGATGGCAGCAGCAAAAGGCTTTTAGAGCCACACCGCGCCTCTCCATCAGACACCACCTGCAGTACCGAGCCTTGTCCACAGGATGGCAGCAGTGAATGGCGCTCAGCGGCACACCGAGCCCTCGTACCTGCAATACCGAGCTTTGTCCACAGGATGGCAGCAGTGAATGGCGCTCAGCGGCACACCGAGCCTTCCACCTGCAATACCGAGCTTTGTCCACAGGATGGCAGCAGTGAGAGGAGCTCAGCGGCACACCGAGCCCTTCCACCTGCAATACCGAGCTTTGTCCACAGGATGGCAGCAGTGAATGGCGCTCAGCGGCACACCGAGCCCTTCCACCTGCAATACCGAGCTTTGTCCACAGGATAACAGCAGTGAATGGCGCTCAGCGGCACACCGAGCCCTTCCACCTGCAATACCGAGCTTTGTCCACAGGATAACAGCAGTGAATGGCGCTCAGCGGCACACCGAGCCCTTCCACCTGCAATACCGAGCTTTGTCCACAGGATGGCAGCAGTGAATGGCGCTCAGCGGCACACCGAGCCCTTCCACCTGCAATACCGAGCTTTGTCCACAGGATAACAGCAGTGAATGGCGCTCAGCGGCACACCGAGCCCTTCCACCTGCAATACCGAGCTTTGTCCACAGGATGGCAGCAGTGAATGGCGCTCAGCGGCACACCGAGCCCTTCCACCTGCAATACCGAGCTTTGTCCACAGGATGGCAGCAGTGAATGGCGCTCAGCGGCACACCGAGCCCTTCCACCTGCAATACCGAGCTTTGTCCACAGGATAACAGCAGTGAATGGCGCTCAGCGGCACACCGAGCCCTTCCACCTGCAATACCGAGCTTTGTCCACAGGATAACAGCAGTGAATGGCGCTCAGCGGCACACCGAGCCCTTCCACCTGCAATACCGAGCTTTGTCCACAGGATGGCAGCAGTGAATGGCGCTCAGCGGCACACCGAGCCCTTCCACCTGCAATACCGAGCTTTGTCCACAGGATGGCAGCAGTGAATGGCGCTCAGCGGCACACCGAGCCCTTCCACCTGCAATACCGAGCTTTGTCCACAGGATAACAGCAGTGAATGGCGCTCAGCGGCACACCGAGCCCTTCCACCTGCAATACCGAGCTTTGTCCACAGGATAACAGCAGTGAATGGCGCTCAGCGGCACACCGAGCCCTTCCACCTGCAATACCGAGCTTTGTCCACAGGATAACAGCAGTGAATGGCGCTCAGCGGCACACCGAGCCCTTCCACCTGCAATACCGAGCTTTGTCCACAGGATGGCAGCAGTGAATGGCGCTCAGCGGCACACCGAGCCCTTCCACCTGCAATACCGAGCTTTGTCCACAGGATAACAGCAGTGAATGGCGCTCAGCGGCACACCGAGCCCTTCCACCTGCAATACCGAGCTTTGTCCACAGGATGGCAGCAGTGAGAGGAGCGCAGCGGCACACCGAACCCTCCCACCTGCAATACCGAGCTTTGTCCACAGGATGGCAGCAGTGAATGGCGCTCAGCGGCACACCGAGCCTTCCACCTGCAATACCGAGCTTTGTCCACAGGATAACAGCAGTGAATGGCGCTCAGCGGCACACCGAGCCCTTCCACCTGCAATACCGAGCTTTGTCCACAGGATGGCAGCAGTGAATGGCGCTCAGCGGCACACCGAGCCCTCCCACCTGCAATACCGAGCTTTGTCCACAGGATGGCAGCAGTGAAGGGCGCTCAGCGGCACACCGAGCCCTCCCACCTGCAATACCGAGCTTTGTCCACGCGATGGCAGCAGTGAGAGGAGCTCAGCGCCATAACGAGCCCTCCCACCTGCAATACCGAGCTTTGTCCACAGGACGGCAGCACCCGCTCGCTTGCTCGGCACCACGGAGGCAGCGGGGTGAGGGACGGCCGCTCCCCAGCCCCGTTCACACCCTCCGGGGGCAGCAGCTCCTTACTGCGGGGACAGGGCTGACGCTTCCCTGCCCCTTTCCCGCATCCCGGCTCCAACAGCCGCTGCCCCTCCCCAGATCCCGATGCATTTTCCCCTGGATCCACTCCCAAGATGCTCATTGACGAGAGGCTCCAATGAGGGAGAAGCATTCTGTGCAGCACCGGTTGGCCCTCCAAGGAAAGGGGGTTTAAGAGGGACACGGGGTGGGTTGGATGCAGGTTTATTCCCCCTTGACGACCTGCTGCTCCCCAGTAACCATTCCCTGCAGAGGGAGCCCGGCCTTAGCTGCTCATCCCTGCCTCATCCTCCCCTCTGCATCCCCACCTTTAGGATCTGGGCAGCGGGATTCCCAAGGGGTGATTCCAGCCCTCCCCCCCCCAGAGCCCATGGAGCAAAGCAGGAGAGACTCCACCACCTGACGTGAATAAAACAACCTTTTAATCATGTACAGCAGAAATCGACAGCCTCGGTTTATATTAAACAAAAAGATTTCCTATCTTACACCGTATTTACACTTGCATACTGGAGGTAAAGTGTCTAAGTGGCTATTTTACAGTCCATTGCTAATAAAACATACAAAACCCAAACCAAAAAGGGGCAGGGAAGTACCAAGAGATGGGTTCTGAAGCCAGCGTACCCCTGCTCACCCGTACCTCTGCCCTGTGGTACCCAACATCTCCCCCTCCTCATCCCCTGGCCTGAACTGCCTGGAGCTGGCGCATCCCAGGGCCGGGCAGTGATTCCTATGCTTGGTCCCAGTCAGCTCCGTCAGCACCGCCCCTCCCCGGCCCGTGGTTGCATGGAAAGTGCTGTTTGAATGCTACATAATCAGCGTTCCCACCGCGGGGAGCCTCTCCCGATGGCCTCTCTCCACACACCAACCTCCTCCTGCTCACAGGGGACCCCGTGGGGCTCCTCCGGCTGCTGTTTGGTTTAGCGCTGAGGCAGATGCATGTGTGGCTACAGTTGGATGGGGCGAGTGGGGCAGTGCTGGTCCCGGAGCTGAGCTGGTCCTTGGGCAGCAGCCGGCACGGAGCCCACAGGGCAGTGATGGAGCTGTGGGCGCCGTGGGCTTTCCTATGGCAGTTCACAGTCACCACGACCTCCTCCTCCTCCTCCTCCTCCCCAGGGCCCGGTGCAGCAGCTGGAGCGCCTCGGGGGGCTCTGTGAAGCGGTTTCTACACGGGGCCGGTTAAGGGAGACCCAGTTCTGCGACAGAACCCCAGGGGAGGGAGCTGCAAGTTCACAACAGGGAGCCTCCAACTGCTCCAAACCTCACCAGGGACCCCCCCCCACTGCTCCAGGGCCTCCTGAGCACCAAACCCCCCCGGAGGATGCACAACAGCTCCAAACACGATGTAAAACCCCCAAACTCCTCATTGACACCAAGTCCCAGACGAGACGGGGAGCCTGGGGAGGACGCACACACGGACACACACAGGCAGCAAGAAGAGAGTAAACCAAAGGGAGTGAACTGGGGATGGAGCAGAGATGAAGCCTCAGCAGAGAGCAGGAGCAAGGGTCGAGCAGAAGCGGTTCCAGTGTAAATCGAGCTGTGTGCATTTGGTTTCTTCTCTTTTTTTCTGGGTTTTTTTTTTTTGCAGTGATTTCTTTACAAACAAGAGGTAACAAGGAGGGATTTGGGGGTTTCTTCTCGTAGAAAGAAGTAGCAATAGTTCAAAAAGGTTAAAATCCAGACCCTTCCAGAAAATCATCACCATAATCATCATAAAAAATAAGAATCAAACCCACTCCAGTTCAAAGTTATGGCTTCAGAGTTATGCACTGCAGAGACCGACCTAACACCAAGGGCCCAGCACCTCCCAGGCTGCCGTTAACCAGCCCTCAGCACAACACCTCCCCTTCCTGCCAGGTCCTGCTGCAGCCAACAGTCACCCATCCCTAACCTGACCCTGATTCAGCATTTCGTCAAAGGAAAAGTCATGCAGATCCCCCCCACCCCACGTTATACACAGCCACTTCCAGGTTATGAGCTATTTATATATGGATAGTAAAACGATGGACATTGGTTTCCAGCCCCACAGCCTGGTGTCAGCTCCTGAGTGGGTCACAGGAGGAGCAGAGCACCCCTGGCCCCTGTGTCTGC